CAGCTGATCGATGTTTCTCTCTCATCGATGTTTCTAACTCTCTATCCCTCTCCCTCCTCTCTGTAAAAAAATCAATAAAATATATTTTAAAAAGGAAAAAAAAAAGAAAGGGAGTGGACTGAATTCTCAAGGGGAAAGGGGTATAGGAGGTACAGGAAGAGATTGGACAAAAATCTTAAACCTATGGACAAGGACAATGGGGAGGCGGGGTAAGGGCATCGGGTGGAGTGGGAACCCGGTGAAGGGGAGCTATGGGGGGAAAAAAGAGGAACAACTGTAATAATCTGAACAATAAAGATTTATTTTAAAAAAAAGTTTGAGTCCAGCCAGCATGGCTCAGTGGTTGAGTGTCAACCTATGAGCCAGGAGATCACCAGAAGTTTCCTGATCAGGGCACATGCTAGGTTACAGATTCGATCCCCAATGGTGGGCATGCAGGAGGCAGCCTGTCAATTAGTTTCTCATCATTATTTTCTCTCCCTCTCTCTTCCTCTCTTTGAAATCAATAAAAACATTTTTTTTAATGAGTTTATTTGAGCCAAACTGACACAGTGCTGGGAAGGAGGATCTCAAATGCTCCAGAGAGTGACAGTTTTTAAAAAATATATATTTTATTGATTTTTTACAGAGAGGAAGGGAGAGGGATAGAGAGTTAGAAACATCAATGAGAGAGAAACATTGATCAGCTGCCTCCTGCACACCCGCTACTGGGGATGTGCCCACAACCAAGGTACATGTCCTTGACCGGAATCGAACCTGGGACCCTTGAGTCCGCAGGCCGACGCTCTATCCACTGAGCCAAACAGGTTAGGGCAGAGAGTGACAGTTTTGCAGTTTCTCTTATACATTTGGAATTAATTGAAGATGGGAAAAAGCAAGGTGCAAGCATGTCGAACGAGGCATGTGCTCTCCAGGATGGCCATGTTTCTGAAGGGTATGAAAGAATAAAGAGGCATTTCAAAAGTATGTTAACCTAGATGCACAGAAAAATGGACAGGGCTTGCTTAAGGCAAAGATAAAACATTTTACTAAAAACGTTATGTGCCTGGGACAGGACTACCCACCATAGCCTGCCCAGGTAGAAAGTTGTGATCAGATCACCCTGACTGGATTTGTCAGATTTATTATAGAGTTCCCACCCCACCCCACCCCCTTTTTTTTGGTCCACAGTGGTATTAAGGAAGGAGATCAATAAGTAGTCTGTAAGTGACGTGATGGGAACTTGAACTGGAGCAATAGCAGTGAGAATCAAAAAGGAAAATAGACACTAACACCTACTGTGTACTAGGTTCTGTGCTTTAATAAATTACCCACTTTCACAAAATACTTGAAGACCCCAATCTTAAGCAACAGTCTTATGGTTGCACAACTGCTAAGTGATGGTCAGAATTCCAAACCAGACTTTTCTAATGCCGAAGGCCACTTAAAAAACACACAGCTGTATAGCACTGCTTCCCAGTCTACATAGATTTCACAGCTTTGGTGGTTACCTGGCTCTGGTTTTTCCTCACCTCTGCTACTCCTAGCCTGAGAAAGATAGAAAGCTTATCATCTTCTGATTGTTTTACAAGTAAAGCTTACAAATGAAAATGTCTGTGTTTTGATTATTTTAGTTTTGTGCTTAATGTGCTGTATGTAATACTAGTAAAACTGACAGTTTTTTCTAATTCCCTTACCAGGTTCTGCGGCATGAGGAGTTTGAAGAAGGCTGCAAAGCTACCTGTAATGGGTATGACACCTTTTTTCTTAAAATTTCCTCTAGGCTCTGAATACCCCTGGAGAACAGAAAGCAGTTTCTCAAAGTGAGTATAAGGCAGAGGAGAAAATTAAGGAGGCAGTAAATTGGGTAACTTCAAGAACACAAATAAATAGTTATGTGCTGTGGGTGAAACAATGTCTTATTGAGCATCTCTTAAGCTTAGTAGCCAGGGCAAGTGAAAATTCCAAGTTTTGGTGGCTTATTGAAGGAAATCCAAAAAAATAAATTAAGGTCAGCCTTTATAAGATTCTGTCCCCTCCTTTAAAGAGAAGGTAAATGAGTCTCTTCCTCAAGTAAGTGCTAAACAGATGGTCTTCAGAGCCTTTGGTGGTGGGCCCATGAGCCCTGTTCTCAGTTCTTCTTCACACCAGCTGAGGTCATCTCATCCTCATGGGTACTTAGAGGACCTGAAGGGACGTGCCCACCCTCTGTCCCAATAGTTCTTTGAGGGAGGCCTGAGGCAGGTTTTGTCTAAGGTCACTGGGTTCATTTGCTTCTATTTTTCTAGGCCTTATGATGGGAAATGGAGTAAAACAATGGTGGGATTTGGACCTGAGGATGATCATTTTGTTGCAGAGCTGACTTACAATTATGGCATCAAAGACTACAAGCTTGGCAATGACTTTAAGGTAAATATCATTTTGTTCTAGACTTTTGGCTATACCTTTTTTGTTGTTAATCCTCACCTGAGAGTATTTTTTCCATTGCTTTTTCAGAGAGAGTGAAAGGGAGGGAGGGAGGGACGCAGAGAGAGAGAGAAACATTAATAGGAGAGAAATACATCCATTGGTTGCCTCCTGCATGCACCGACCCAGGGTGGGGAGCGAACCCACAACCCAGGTACATGCTCTTGACTGGGAATCAAACCCAAGACTCTTTGGTGTGCAGGCTGACGCTCTAACCATTTAGCCATGCCAGTGGTTGAGATCACTTATATAGCTTAGGTTATGATGACTGATGAATTAGTGGCCTGTGGGTGTAGTTTAGTGATTAGTTTTATGATTTCTATTTAAAACAAAACCACTTGGATAACCCTGGCTTCAGGATGAAATGTGTTCTCCCTGCATTTTGGAATCAAACTCAAGACTTAGAGACAGCTTTGAAGGAGAAAAAACACCTCTACAGGAACCTCAAGAGGTAAAGGGCCAGAGTCATTGGTCTGGTCAGGTTTTGATCACCATTCAGAGAAATATTTTCTCTGTAGTGGACTATTAGTACTGGTCTGGGCTATTACAGCCAATCCCAGTCGGAAAAATCTGAAAAGGTTTTGAGGATAAAGAGAATACATTCATTCATTCAGGAATTCAAGTTATTATGCACTTATTATAGTAATAGTATCCACCATTTATTGAGCAGTTACTATGTGCTAAATAGAATGCCACTGGGACCAAAACATAGCAAGATAGGAGTAACTAATTTTCATTCAGAATCTACTGAGCAAATCAACCTCATGCTAGATGTTATTTTGGTCATTTGATCTCATTAATGCTGTTAACTCATTAAAATAACAATGCTGCCGAAACCGGTTTGGCTCAGTGGATAGAGCGTCGGCCTGCGGACGGAAAGGTCCCAGGTTCGATTCCGGTCAAGGGCATGTCCCTGGGTTGCGGGCACATCTCCAGTAGGAAATGTGCAGGAGGCGGCTGATCGATGTTTCTCTCTCATCGATGTTTCTGACTTTCTATCTCTCTCCCTTCCTCTCTGTAAAAAATCAATAAAATATATTTAAAAAAATAAATAAATAAAATAAAATAAAATAACAATGCTATCTAGAAGGAAGTTTTTATGAAAATCCAATGTCTATGAAAGTGCTTTATAAATAAAAGGACTGTTCAGATTCAGCATATTAATACATTTGTTTTTCTATTTTTCACTCTTCATGTCTCTCTAACTTATTAACAGATATTTATTGTGCCTTATACCTTGTTAGGTCCTAAGGATGCAATAGAGGGTAAAGCATAGTCCCTGGCCCAGGGAGCTTCCTGCCTGGTGGGGGAAACAAGTAAAGAGACAAGAATACAGTGTGATAAGTGCTAAATTGGGATATGAACTGGGGGGTGTGGGAACACATAGGAGTAATTCCCAGCCTATTCCTGGAGAGTGAGAGTTTAGGAAAAGCTTTGCAGAGGTTACCTCTGAGCCAGGTGAGTGGAGTTGGGATGGGAGGGTGAGATGAGTGTTCTCAGCATGTGCTCACCCAGAGAGGAGAGAGACGGTGTCACTTAGAACTATGAGTAGCACAATCTGACTGCCAGCTTAGTGCGTGAAGGAGGGAGTGGGTAGAGTTGAGGCTGAAGAAGTAAGCTGGCCCGGTTGGTGTGGCTCAGTGGTTGAGTGTCCACCTATGAACCAGGAGATCATGGTCAATTCCTAGTCAGGGCGTATACCCTGGTTGTTGGCTCCATCCCCAGTGTGGGGTGTGCAGGAGGCAGCCAATCAGTGATTCTCTTTCATCATTGATGTTTCTATCTCTCTCTCCCTCTTCCTTCCTCTCTGAAATTAATAAAAATACACATTTTTAAAAATGATGTTATAGGCCTGGGGTGTGACTACCCACCATGACTTGCCCGGTTAGAAATTTTTTTTAAAATATATTTTATTGATTTTTTACAGAGAGGAAGGGAGAGAGATAGAGAGTTAGAAACATCGACGAGAGAGGAACATCAATCAGCTGCCTCCTGCACACCCCCCACTGGGGATGTGCCCGCAACCAAGGTACATGCCCTTGACCGGAACCGAACCTGGGACCCTCCAGTCCGCAGGCTGACGCTCTATCCACCGAGCCAAACCAGCCAGGGCGCCCAGTTAGAAATTTATGATCAGATCACCCTGTGAGGTTACTTTCAGTCACTGGACTTGTACATACCCTCTTTTTTATCCACAATAAGAAGGTGATGGGTTTTGCCTCATTATAAAAGGTCTCTTGTGATCCGACACTTGGATGATATTGTTGTTTGTCATAGGGTATCACAGTCGCTTCTAGCCAGGCTGTGAGCAATGCCAGGAAGCTGAAGTGGCCACTCACTGAAGTTGCAGAAGGTGTTTTTGAAACTGAGGCCCCAGGAGGATATAAGTTCTATCTGCAGAATCAAAGTCCACCTCAGTCAGGTAATTTATAAAGGCCTCTGTCGGAAGGCATCTTTGATGGAAGGAGGAGGGAGCTGGATTTCTTTCTCCTGTGAAGTCTTTCTGTATTAACATGACATGTCTTTCTCAAGCAGTGTTGTTATTTCTTCTCTGAAAAGTTATATTCTTATATGAGATCTTTATAAGGGATCTGGACTGGTTCTACTGGTAATGTAGCTATTTAAGATACTTTCAGCTGCAAAAAACAAAACCCAATTCAAACTAGCTTTAACAATAAGAAATTTATTTTAGCTCACAAAGCCAGCATTCTATAGATAGGGAAGATTTCAGCATTCATTGATTCAGCAGCTCAGAAATGGTAATGAGCCCTAACCAGTTTGGCTCAGTGGGTAGAGAGTCAGCCTGCAGACTGAAGGGTACCAGGTTCGATTCTGGTCAGGGGCATATACCTTGGTTGTGGGCACATCCCCAGTAATGATTGTGCAGGAGGCAGCTGATTGGTTTTTCTTTCTCATTGATGTTTCTAATTCTCTATCCCTCTCCCTTCCTCTCTGTAAAAAAAAAAAAAAATCAATAAAATTTTAAAAAAGGCAATGAGAACCCAAATTTTCTCTCTCTCCATTCTCTTGGCCCCAGAGCCAGTTCCCTTCCTTGTGGTAGGGTGGCTACCAGTAGCAGTTACAGCTATAGGCTCCTACGTTCTCTCCTGGAGGAGAGGGAGAGACTGACTTCTACTGCTCTCTTTTAAGAGCAGACCAAACTTTTCTAGAATCTTTCAGCAAACTTCCTTGTCAGATTTTTAAAAATATATTTTTATTGATTTCAGAGAGGAAGGGAGAGGGAGAGAAAGATAGAAACATCAATGATGAGAATCATTGATCGGCTATCTCCTGCATACCTTACACCAGGGATTGAGCCCAAAACCTGGGCATGACCAGGAATCAAACCGTGACCTCCTGGTTCATAGGTCGACCCAACCACTTAGCCACTCTGGCTGGCTTCCTTATCAGATTTTATTCACATGCCCACTTGTGAACCAATCACTGGTAGGAGAAACAGGATTATCCTTAGACCAGTTAGTCATATTCTCCAGCTAAGGCCAGTTTTGCAAACTATAGTGCTGGTACTCAGTGAGTGAGGGAGGAATGGAAGTGAAGGGCCGCCCCCACACTGACCTCCACAGGGAGCAGCAGGAAAGAAACTGCATGAAGTGCTTCATTTATTCATTTATGACCCAGACATCATCCTCATATGTGAATTTCATTCCTACAAAGTCTGCCACCTGCTCTTTAAAAAATACTGGTGAATAGCAAGGGCAATTCTGCCTGTCATTTCACTCAGTGAATACATGCCCTGAGTGGACCTGAGATGGGGGACATTCCTCTTTCCTCCACTGGTCTGCCTCAAGTCCCAGAATCTCCTCACACTGAGTCTGATTGTTGTGTTGAATGCTACTTGCTTTTCATCTGGAGCTCAGCAAAAGAAAGTGACGTGTTCCATTGTGGGAGGTGGGACGTACTGAGATGGTATTTCTGTACTTCACTAGTGATTTAAGGGATTTTTATGATGATTTTTGTTGATAGGTGATTGTTGCTTTACATACTAACTTTAAAACTCAACCTGTGTCACTTATTTTTCTGTACATTTCCCTCCTAATCTTGATGTTTCAATATGTAAGATAATGGCAAGCCCCACAATCCTAACATGTGTTTGTCCTTGAGAATGATAGAGCCTCAGGGCATTAATTTCTGGTTGGTAAAATAGTAAATGTATCAGTCTAGCTGTGTCCACCCTTCCTTTGAATCACTTACTTATCTGTAGTTTCACCCACTAATTTACCATTCCTGCCCCTGCATCCGTTCAGAGTCAGCTGGAATCTGTTGATTTCTCAATAGATGGGAAAACTAAAACAGTCTGCCGGCAGAGAGACCTGTGAGAAACACCTTGCCTTGGGTCATGGCATTGCAATTCTAGCAAACCAGAGCAAGGCAGTAGAACGGAAGGACAGTGTATTGAATTTATCATAGGCAGATGTAGACTTGGAACAGCTCTGGAGAAAGTCACTTTACAATATAAAAGTTTCCAGTAATGGTGTTTTAATATAACTTTTGCTCTTTTTGCAAAACAAAATAGATTTTAACATTTTAGAGTATAGCTTGCCTGTCTGTTATTTAAAAATAAATAAATGAAACTAAAAATAAATAAATATATGCATAACCCATAGACCTGGATAACAGTGTGGTGATGGCTAGAGGGAAAGGGGTGTGGGGGCTGCATGGAGGTGGGGAATGGAGACATCTGTGCTAGTGTCAACAACAAAAAAGTTAAAAAATATATAATATGTATGTCTTTATTCATATTTCATTATAATGATTCCATTGTATTGCATCATGGGAAGATAAACAGTTCTCTATTGTTGGATATTTATGTTGTCCCTAGCGTTTCCTTGTTATGAGGAACACTGTGATGGATGCCTTTGTGATGAAAGCCCTTCATACATACACAGTTCTTTATGTTTTTAATTTGTATTGATTTTAGAGAAGAAGGGACAGGGAGAGAGACAGAAACCTCAATTATGAAAGAGAATCATTGATCAGCTGCCTCCTGCATGCCCCCCACTCTCCCCACCCCCTCCCCCCGACACTGGGGAACGAGCCTGAAACCCAGGCATGTGCTCTGACCGGGAATCAGACCATGACCTGGGTCATAGGTCAACACTCAATGTCTGAACCACAGTAGCTAGGCCACAGTTACTTCTTTAATTGCTGAAATGGGGTTGTTCTTTTATTTATTTATTTATTTAAATATATTTTATTGATTTTTTACAGAGAGGAAGGGAGAGGGATAGAGAGTTAGAAACATCGATGAGAGAGAAACATCCATCAGCTGCCTCCTGCACACCTCCTACTGGGGATGCACCTGCAACCAAGGTACATGCCCTTGACCGGAATTGAACCTGGGACCTTTGAGTCTGCAGGCTGATGCTCTATCCACTGAGCCAAACCGGTCAGAGAGGGATTGTTCTTTTAAAAGCCCTGTATATTTTTTAGGCTTTGGATATATTCTGTCAAATTGTTCCCCAGAAATGAACTAGTTTACACTCCTCCAGTATTATATGATTGTGATTTCCCCCTGTGCTATCACAGTCTGTGCTGCGAACTTTTAAAATTATTTGCCAATTAGATAACAGTGTTTTATTTGAATTCTCATTTCTTTATTTGTGAGGTTGTATATTTTTTCATATGTTCATTGACCATGCTAGTTCTGTGCCTTATTCCTATTTTTCTAGGATATTCATCTTTTTCCTATTAATGTTTAAAGATTACTTAACTAATAAGGACTTTTTGTCTTATATTTTAGAAAAAAAATGTTTCCTACTTAGTTACTCTTTTATTTTGATTATAATTCTTTTTTTTCTTTTTTTGCTTTTGTTGTCTAGGAATTTTCCATTTCATGTAATTAACCTAGCAATTTTTCCTTCATGGTTTTTCTATCTTGTGTCAGCTTTTAAAGAAAAGTCTTTCTTCCAAAATTGTATAAATAACCACCTGATATTATTTATTATAGTATTTTTATGGTTTCATTCGTTAAACTTAATTCTTTAACCCATCAGAAATGCATTCTTTCATTTAGTTTAAAGGTGTAACTTTTTCCCACTAAATGAGAAGCCAGTCTTTGAATAATGTGCCCTTTCGTGCTGATTTAAAATCCCTTTTTTATAATAAACTAAATTCTTATATATACTTGAGCCCCCTTTGGTCTTTCTGTTCTACTCCATTACACTGACCTATCCATTCCTACTGTTTTATTACCCTACAGATCCTGTATTAAAAGTAACTCTAGCAGTGTCTGATCTTCAGAAGTCCTTGAACTACTGGTCTAATCTACTGGGAATGAAAATTTATGAAAAAAATGAAGAGAAGCAAAGGGCTTTGCTTGGCTATGCTGATAACCAGGTGAGTGATCTTGGAAAGAAACAATCTGTTACTATGAGTTTGGCTTATAAATGAGGTTAACATGAAGGTTATTCCCTTAGTTTCTTCATAGTGATTTAATATTTATATAGAAACAAAAAGAAAAGAAAAAAATTGCTGATAACATCACCACCTAGATATTTGGGGATATATTTTTTGAAGTGGAATTGCTGAATCCGAAGAGATATAGACAAGATTTAATGCTGTAATGAGAGGTATTTTTATCTTTTTCTTTTAAAAAGTAACCCAGCATTTGAGCATGATTTAGTCCTTGCACTTTGACCCAGTAGGTCTATTCCTTTATTTACAATAAAAGAAAATGGACTCTCAGGCAGCCTCTCAGTTGAAAATTTGCTAGATTCTCTCCTTGCTCTTTCATATTACTAGGAATTTATTTTACATACTCATCAGACATGTTCACAAAGAACTGTGTACAAGGTTATCTGTTGCAGCATTGTTTATAATAGCAAAATATAAGAAATAATATAATTGCCCTGTGGATTAGCAGAATAGTGCAACAATTTATGATTCATCCATAGGCTGGATTACTATGCAGCTATCAAAAAAGACTAAGATGATTCCTTATGTGCTGATATGTTAACATTAATGGGAGAAAACAAGGAACAGAATTATGTGTAAATTATGCTACCATTTGTATAAAAAGGAAAGATGCTGTGTGTCTAGAAATATACACAGGAAACTGCTGACTGGTTGCCTCTGGAGTGAGAGTAGGAGGGAGACTTCATTTTTACTTTATTCCTTTAGTACTGTGAATTTTTTTTTGCCTGTTCTGAAAAATAAACCAAACCTACTTTCTTCTTTTCAGTGTAAGCTGGAGCTACAGGGCATCAAGGGTGCAGTTGATCATGCAGCAGCTTTTGGAAGAATTGCCTTTTCTTGTCCCCAAAAAGAGGTAATGTTTGGTACCAGATCTTTTATTTAAGTTCTGTGATAATTAGTTCAACTCCTGAGAACCTTGGGCCTCCCATTCTTTAGGTTCATTCTGATCGTGGCTTCCACAGTTGCCTTCAGCAGCTAAGATAACAAAAATCAAAGAGTGGCTCCCGGTTCTTTCTGGTTGATCTGATATTCCTCTAGGGCAGCGGTTCTCAACCTATGGGTCGCGACCCCTTTGGGGGTCAAATGACCCTTTCACAGGGGTCACCTAAGACCATCGGAAAACACATATATAATTACCTATTGTTTTTGTGATTAATCACTATGCTTTAATTATGTTCAATTTGTAACAGTGAAAATGCATCCTGCATATCAGATATTTACATTATGATTCATAACAGTAGCAAAATTACAGTTATGAAGTAGCAACGAAAATAATTTTATGGTTGGGGGTCACCACAACATGAGGAACTATATTAAAGGGTTGTGGCATTAGGAAGGTTGAGAACACTGCTCTAGGGTCAACAAGGACCATGGCCTAACAGTGGTGCAGTATCCCTAGCTCACTTTTTCTTTGTGTTTTCCTCAAGCTGCCTGACTTAGAAGACTTGATGAAAAGGGAGAAGCAGAAGATTCTGACTCCCCTGGTGAGTCTGGATACCCCCGGGAAAGCAACAGTGCAAGTGGTCATTCTGTCCGACCCTGTAAGTATTACTCAGGAAGGGGACAGGCTGCACCAGCGCTTTCTTCCGAGGTGTCTGTTTGCCAAACTCCTTTTTTTTTTTTGGTATAGGATGGACATGAAATTTGCTTTGTGGGGGATGAAGCATTTCGAGAACTTTCTAAGATGGATCCAACAGGAAACCAATTGTTGGATGACGTGAGTGTCATTTCTAATTTATAGGATAATAGCCCAAGGGAGGTGACATTAAGTGTGTGGGGAAAGGCCAAAGCCACAGGGACCATTCTTACTATCAGAACCATATTCTTTTGCTTTGGGATGACTTTTGATCCAGGAACTCTTCATTGCCACCATGTGACTCTTATCTGGGTGCAGCTCTTGTGCCTTCCCACTACCTCAGGCTGCCTTCGGGAACCACTGCTGCTGTATGCGGGATTATCCTGCTCAGTGAATGGAAATGCCTGGACACCATCCCCTCTCACCTTCTTAGCTCTTGGTCATCTCTTCTCCTATAGATTCAGTCTCTTCCTTTTTAGTGAATTGTTCTCAAGCTCCAGTACCTTCCATCTCTGGAAAATATTTTATTTACCCTATATAACTTCTCCTGATTTTCTTTTAATCTGCCTATACGCTACTTCTACTTCTCATCTCCCATTCACACTTCAGTCTGTACTACACTGACGTGAAATGTGCATTTTGATCTCATCAGTGACTTCCATCCTGCCTAATTCAGCTCCTTTTCTATCCTCTTCAAACAGTTCTTTAGCAGCATCCAAGCAATTGTACCCCAGCATCTAACATCCTTGGTATGTAGTATGTGCTCAGTAAATACCCTATTCATGATTAAAGGAATGAATCAATCTTTCCTGGTTCTGTCACTTAATAACCAAATGGCTGACCTCAAACAATTAGAAATTAGGAAGTCAGAGAAATGATGATGGCTGACCTCAAGCAATTTGCTTAAAGTCTCTAAACTTAAGCTTTCTTATCTAAAAATTTGAGAAAATAAGATTATCCACCTCAAAGAATTGTTTTGTGCTTTATAGAGCCTGCTAAATTACTGACGTAATAACAGACACTCAGTTAATGTTAATTAAAATAGAAAATGTACCACTTATAAATTTTACCGTAAAGGAAAATGGATTCTCAGGCAGCCTGTCTGTTGGCAAATTTGCTAGACTCTCTCCTTGCTCTTTCATATCACTGGCCAGCTTCCTCCTCTTTTGAGCTCTCTTCTCCTTTGGTGTTAGAGATCCTGCCATCTTCGCATCTCCCTGACAGCTTCTCCTCAGGCACAGGCACCTCTCTCTCTATCTGATCCTAAAATGATTTTACCCATGATCCCACTTTGCTATCTTTATTCTCATTCTACATTCTCTCTCTTCTCTGAGTAGAAGTTACCTACTACTACTTCTGCTCTGAGCTTCAGCCATCATCATTTCTCTGACTTCCTAACTTCTAGTTCCTACTCCTCTGAGCTCCAAACAAGTATTTCTTGTTGTTATTACTGAGGTAAAATATACATAGAATTTAAATGTACAGAAATTTACTGTTCAACTTAATGAGTTTTGACAGTTATATATACTCGTGCAACCACTACTAAAGTATAGAGTACTTCCATCACTGCAGGAAGTTCTTTTATGCCCAGTTCCAGTTAGTTCCCACCCTCACCTCCCAGAGGTTTTGTCTGTCCTTGGACTTCATATAAATGGAGTAATTCAGTAAAAGTATTCTTTTGTGCTTTTTTCACTCAACATTTTTGAGATTCCTCCCATGTAATTGCATGAGTTTATTCTTTTTTTAAATTGCTGAGTGGTATTCAGTTTTATAAATATAACAATTTGTTTATCCATTCTTCAAATGATAAATATTTGAGCTGGTTCAGATTTTCATCTTTTTTTTAATATATTTTATTGATTTTTTACAGAGAGGAAGGGAGAGAGATAGAGAGTTAGAAACATCGATGAGAGAGAAACATCGATCAGCTGCCTCCTGCACATCTCCCACTGGGGATGTGCCCGCAGCCCAGGTACATGCCCTTGACCGGAATCGAACCTGGGACCTTTCAGTCTGCAGGCCGACGCTCTATCCACTGAGCCAAACTGGTTTCGGCCAGATTTTCATCTTTTATGAGGAAGGCTGCTATGAACATTCTCATGTAAATCTTCTTGTAGACATATGCTTCATTTCCCTTGGATAAATACCTAGGAATGGAATTGCTTTTACTTTATAAGAAACTGCCAAACGGTCATCCAGAATGATTGACCCTCTTTATACTCTTGTAACCATGTCATATACTGCACCATCATTAGTATTTTTTGTTTTCTTGTGGTAGCTATATTAGTACATGTAAAATGGTTTATTATTGTAATTTTAATTTACATGCCCCTGATGACTAATGATGTTGAGCAGCTTGTCATATGCTTATTGGCCATTTGCTTGTATTCTTTTGTGAGTTATATGTTCTTTTGTCCATTTCTCTCCATAGGAGATTTATTTTTAATACTTCATGATTTAAAATTCCAAATATACACAATAGAGTACAACAATCTCTATGTGACTGACACCCATCAGCTCTGTACCATAATTTTTCATCATTCTTTCCCACCCCACCTTTTATTTTTGCTGAAGAAATTGAAGACAAATCTCAAACACCATGACATTTCATGCTTGAATACTTAAGTATTTTACACATTAAAAAAATGAAATCCTTCATGAATTTGCATGGCATTCTTGCACAGAGACCATGCTAATCTTCTCTGTATCGGTCCAATTTTGGTACATATGCTGCTGAAGCAAGCACAGTATTTTACACATTTTTAAGACAAGCATTCACGAAGTAAGCATTCAAGAATTTTCTTATACAGTGTGGCCTCGAGTGTCCCGACTAACGAGTTTTTTGAGATACCAGCTGTCTCTCGGCCCGATTTTTTGCATTGAGTTGATAGAGTAATTTGAGTTAACGAGCTCCTTAATGAGCTCGGTTTCGGAAAGAAATCAAACTCGTAAGTCAAGGCCCCACTGTATACCATATTGGCATCATCACATTTAAAAAAATCAACAATGTATCCTTTATGCCACCTAAAACCCAGTTCTTATTAAAATTTCCCTGATCCTCTAAAAATAGTTTTATACAGTTGGTTTGTCCTATGTATTTTTAAGTTTAGCTTTAGTGTAATCAGACTGTATAAATAAATACAGAACAATTAATATGATCCATTGAATTTCATGACAAACTACTTGAAAGACACATCTCTGATCTATTTCATTTTAGCCATTTTAGTCTATTCTCTAATCTCTAAATATGTCTTTGTTCACACTATTTTATTTTCTTAGAATGTCCCTTCTCTGAATATTTGCTTATTTTTTAAGGCCCAATAAAATCCATTTAAAAAATGTTTTATCTTTTTCTTGTTGATTTGTTGGAAGCCTCGTTTATAAACCTTTTTTTTATTTTTAGTGCTTTTTTTTTTGTCTAGACTAAATTTATAGCCATCGAAACCTCTTCACCATGGATATTTCAAACTCAGTATATCTATAACTTAATTTATCTCACTTCAAATCCATTCTTATTTTAAAAATGTAAAAATAAAAGTTACAATTTATTAAGTATCTCACATGTTCTTGACACATGACATATTCTTAAGTGCTTTATATATACTCTCTAATCTTACCACAATCTGCAAGGTTGATAGTTCTCTTTCAGATGAAGAAACTGAGGTTCAAAAATACTGTCACCCAGTATTATACATTCAGTGTCAGCACAAGGGCTTGAACAGAGATCTTTAAGGCTTTACAACCAGTTCTTTTTTTTTTGTTTACAACCAGTTCTTTTTCCTCCTCTATTTCTACTCTGCTCCCTAAGTGACCAGTCGCTTTGACACCCACTGACCACCAGGGGGCAGATGCTCAATGCAGGAGCTTCCCCCAGGTGGTCATTGTGCTCCCACAG